AAATCTAATCTAATCTAATCTAATCTCCTCCACTCCACTGAGCTACAAACATTCTCTTGTTTCTCCCCCCCCCCCCTCCCCAAGGCACCTGGCCACCCACTCTGCCCAGAAGCCCCACCAATGCATGTACTGTGAGAAGATGTTCCACCGGAAGGACCACCTGCGCAACCACCTCCAGACCCACGACCCCAACAAGGAAGCCCTCCACTGCCCCGAGTGCGGCAAGAACTACAACACCAAGCTGGGCTACCGGCGCCACCTGGCCATGCACGCGGCGGCCAGCGGCGACCTGAGCTGCAAGGTCTGCCTGCAGATGTTCGAGAGCACCCAGGCGCTGCTGGAGCACCTCAAGGCCCACTCGCGGCGGCCCTCGGGCAGCGCCAAGGAGAAGAAGCACCCCTGCGACCACTGCGACCGGCGCTTCTACACCCGCAAGGACGTGCGGCGCCACCTGGTGGTGCACACGGGGCGGAAGGACTTCCTGTGCCAGTACTGCGCCCAGCGGTTCGGCCGCAAGGACCACCTGACCCGCCACATGAAGAAGAGCCACTCGCAGGAGCTGCTGAAGATCAAGGCGGAGCCGGTGGACATGCTGGGCCTGCTCAGCTGCAGCTCGGCCGTGGCCGTCAAGGAGGAGCTCAGCCCCGTCTTGTGCATGGCTTCCAGGGAGGTGATGAGCGGCAAGAGCTTCCCCGGCATGCTCCCCATGGGCATGTACGGGGCGCACGTCCCGGCCATGCCCGGCTCAGGGATGCCCCCCTCGCTAGTGCCCAACCCTCTCCCGATGGGGATGAGCTACCCGCTGGAGCCCTCCTCCCCTCAGCAGCCTCCCCCGAAGTACCAGCTCGGATCTACCTCATACTTCCCCGACAAGATCCCCAAAGCGGAGATGGACAGCTGCCTGGCCGAGCTGCCCGGAGGCCTTTCGCTGATCGCCGGCGAGCCTTCCTCCTCCTCCTCCCCTCCTCAGCCCACCAGCCTGGAGGAGACGCTCCTCTCCAAGAGCCCGGCTCTCCTTTCGGAAGCCCTCTGTGCTGCTAACATGGATTTCTCCCACCTGCTGGGCTTCCTGCCCTTGAACCTCCCCTCCTGCAACCCCCCCGTCTCCTCGGGGGGCCTGGTGATGGGTTATTCCCAGGGGGAGGCCCAGTCCCTCCTGGCCACTCTGCCGCCCCAGGAGCCCTCCTCGGGAAGCGGGCCCTCGCTCGGCTTCGGGGCGCTGCATCCCTTGCCCTCGGTCTTCTCCGCGGGCTTGGGGGCGACTACGCTGCCACGTTTCCACCAAGCATTCCAGTGAGAAGAGCGCTGGGCGGGCACGTGGATCAGTGTCGGTGGGAGGGCGGGGTGGGGGTGGGGGTGTTGTTACCTCCATCGCGCTCGGCTTCGTTGTCTTTCCAGTGAAAAAAGAGGGGAGGGGGGAAAAAACCTTGAGGGAGGATTGGAACTGTGTACGCCTCAGTCCTGGACAGGGAAAGTAGGTTGCAGTGAATAGAATTTCAGGTATTCTCTTTTTATTTTTTCTTTCTTTCTACGTTGTTGGTAATCAGGAACCTCACGGGAGTTTCTTCCCACCCCCCTTTGCCCCCCAGTCTTGCTCCATGGAGCTGAAGCGCGGAGGCCTCTTCCAGGCCGGGGCCCAACTCACACACACCCCTGCCATGTTGCGTCTCCCTCGGTCGGTGTGGCAGGAACGTCCGTTTCCCCTCTCCTCTTCCCCCCACCCGGCGATTCCCGCCTGCGCAAATCGAGACTTCTCCTCCTCCTCCTTGGAGCCAATGAATCCCTGCAGGATCACGTTTACTCTTCGACCATTTCCCCCCCCACTGTTATGAATCAGGTGGTGCCCCAGACGCCGTTCGGGGTCTCGGGCACAGCGAAGGCACTGTTTACACCGTGAAATTGGCTCGCTCCGGTTTCACCTCACTACTACTACTGCTACTACTAACTCCTCCTCCTTCTTCTTCTTCTTCTTCCATATCTTCCCCCGTGGGGAAATCCAACTGACTGGCAGCATCTTCCGCCGTTGCCAATTCAGAGGGTTGGTGGCTGTTGTTGTTGTTATTCCCGTCCCAGATCTCTTGAGCAGATCAGAAGGATCCTCCCGACAGGAGAGGCTCCCTGTGATTTCTGGGCTTTTTTTTCCGAAGAGGGCTTCCCAAAACACGTCAGGGCAGCGATGGCAAACCTCTGGCACGCGTGCCGGAAGTGCCACGCGGAGCCGTCTCTCCAGGCACACCAGCCCTCGCCCGTTGCTCTTCCGGGTTCTGATGTGCGCACCAAAGAGCTGGCCTTCGCGTGCACGGGAGCGCCGGAAACCAGAAAATCAGTGTGCGCCGGGAAGCTCAGCTTCCATTTTCTGGTGCTCCAACAGCTCTTTGCACATGTATGTGCGCCAGGAACTGGGAGCTCGGCTTCCCAGTGCCCGCGTGCGCACTGGGGAACTGCTCTTCCAGTTTCCGGCAGTCCCTTGTGCACGCGCTACCGTTTCGGCTCTCGGTGCCCAAAAGGTTTGCCAGAACTGTGTTAGGGTTTTGACTAGAGCAGCCCTCCCTCCGAGGCCTCTTCCTAAAAAGACGTACTGACCAGGAGGGAGGCCCATCATCCTGTCCTGCCGAGATGTCTTTCTTTTTTTCCCCTATTCCCCCCCACCCCCCAAAAAATCTCCTTGTCCGTTCTAAGACAAAGCACGCCGATTGAGGGCTGATCTCGTGTGGCCTTTGGGGGCTCAAGGAAGATCCTTGGCTCCAGCTCCTTGGTGCCTTTGGCCCATTTCTGGGTAGTGAGGGTGCAGTTTGCCTTTTCACCAGCAGCACCCGTGCCCCCCCCGCGGAGCCCCACCCACCACATGAGCAGGCCAACCTTGCAGGAAGGAACCGTGGGGAAAACACGCAGAGGTGGGGCAGCCTCGCTTTCGGCTTCTTAGGGGGAGTCCGGTTGCCTTTTTTTGAGGGGGGTGCTGGGTGAGCGGAGGGTGTAACATCCGCCTCTTCATTTCCATGCCCCTTTTTCCTTCCTGCAAGGCTGGTTCCCCCCCCCCTCTAAGCTCCAGAGCCCCCATGCTCCCTTTTTATCCCCCTCCTCAAGGCGCCCAAGCGCTGAGCTTCCAGCCCTCACAGTCTGAACTCGGCACAGAGCAAAAATAAGAATCGCCACTCGCAACCTTTGCTTCCCTCAAGAAAGCAAAAGAGAAGTGGGGGGCTGCGTTGATGCCCTCTTGGCTGACCAGGGGCCCTTCCTGGTTGGCTCGCCTTAGCAAGCGATGGGCCAGTTGGACACGGCGGAAGCAGCAAGAGAGCCACGTCCTCTGATGCTCTTCCCGTAGCGCAGAGTTCCCCAAACTTAAGTGGCTCCATGCCAGCAGCTGGCATGTGTGTGCATTTGTCACGTGTGACCGCTGTGTGTGAAAATGAAGCATGCATGCACACGCTCGCCCACTGCTCACGCAAGGGGGGGGGGCTATGCACACATGCTCAGCCGCTGGTTCTGAATGGCTCAGGGCCTGGTAGTGGGCTGCAGCCCAAGGGTTGGGGGACCCCTGCTGTCTGTCCCTCCATCCGTTTGCAGGCTTCTTGGCACGTCCCGTTGGTCTTAACCCAGAGACGGCTGAGCCTCCCCCATCTTCCACGGGGCTGCGGGGCGTCCCCTCGGAAGGAAGGGGGTGGCAGGATTCGCCCCCTGTCTTAGGCAGGAAAGTGAGCCTTACTCAGAATGTAACCTGTCGCTTAATTTAACCCTGGGGGGGATTAATACGGGAATTACAGTGACTTCCACATCCCCCTTCTCGCCCTCAACTCTCCCTTCCCCAGCTTGGGGGGCTCTTGTGCAAGTTACAAAGTTGCCCCCCCCCCCTCTCTCTGTCTTCCCCGCAGTCTCCCGCGTGAACTCTCGTATGATGTCTACTACAGTGAATACCTCATGGTGCTCTGCTCTTACTCTCTCGCGCCCCTCCGGGGCTGCCCGAGGCCTCCCTTGGGGGAGGGTCCACCTCCGTGCATTTGGGGGGTATCCCCCCCCACCGGCCCCCTTTCCTTTTTACCTCATAGGCAGGGAGCGGAGCAAGGGGCCTCCCCTGGCTCTGCCTACCTGCCCAGAAACCTTAAGGCGATCTCTGCAATAATGCCTCCCGGTTGCATTTGATGCTCTTTCTCCCCGCCTGTCCACGCCAGACGCTTCGCCCTTGCAATTCCAGGTGGCTTTGAAACCCTCGCCGCCTCCTTCCCCGTCTTCGTTTCTCAGCTGCTTCCTAAGTGAGAATCCCTTCTGCCCTGGGCCTCGTAGGCCTTCTATGCTAGGCTTCGGCAACCCTGCCTTTCTCGGAGCGTGTCCTTCACGCTCCCGTTTTCATGTTTCGTATAAGACTTACCTCAGCAATCGCACGTGGCCCTGAGTTCCACAGGCCCTGCTTCCTGGTCTTCGTGGTAAAGACATTGCCTTTCTGAGTTCTTCAGCGTGTGCCTTGGCACTGGAAGGGTGCCTGGCCGTCTCCTGATGGTTTTCAGTATTTTTAAATACCTCGGTTGCATTTCCCGTTACTCTTTTTTTTTTTTCCAGATATAGTTGCACATTTTCCTCTTATGCAATCCTCATATTCCCTACCTCAAAACTTAATGAGAAGAAGAAGAAAAAAAAAAAGGAGCATATTCCACATTTCAGTTTCTTCAGGATGCCGTTGGACTTCGACATAAAGCTATTCGCTGGCTTAGTTTGCAACTTCGAGCACTTGCTGTCTCTTCTCTGGCCTTCAGCTCGGTCGCTTTTTGGCAAACGTTGCGTGCCAGAGAGCGTTCCAGATCCTAAACCTTCCTCCTCCTCTGGGGTTTGCTTGTCCCCTTCGTCTCACCACCCAACCAAAGATAGAATAATTCAAAAAACAAAAAAGGCAGAAGACTCCTGCCTGCATCGAAAGACGACTCTTTCTCGTTAGGAAAAAGAAGAAAGTTGTGTTTATTTCCACCCTAGCTTCAACACCGATGCTGGGACGATAGCAGCGGTTCGGGTTTTAACCGGCCTGATTTTCTGCCAGCCAAATCTCTTTACTGTACAGTAGTAAAAATGACATTTAAGTGAAAGAAATCATACAAGAGAAGGTGGGGGAAGACCCAAGCGCCAGTCATCTTTCTTAACAAGAGAGCCGTAAGGTCAAATATTCATAAGTACTACTGATCTACTCTCCAATCCCAGGCAATACTTTTCCAAAGATATAAAAGAGTGGCCCGCAAATATTTTTTTGGGGTTCCGTTTGGCTTTTGTGTGGCATGATGGGCAGTGAAAAGGAAACTTGTTTTAGTCTTTTGATGAGGTTGATCTAAAAGAGGGTCTTTATCCATGTAGCTACGGGTGTAGCCTTTTAAAGAATAGAGGGTATAAAATTGTGCCTCGCCAATCCAAGAAATGTGTTTGCGGCTTGTATTTTGCTTAGAGCAGACCTCTGCGAGGGAAGAACTTCTGTTATGGGAAATAAAAGTGGGTTTCCCCCTCCCCAATCACGGTGTTTTTTGGGGGGGTGGGTAGGAACAAACAGAATGAGGGGAAAATAGAATAATATTTCTCCATCGTGTGTGTGTGTGGGGGGGGGGAAACGGGACCGTTGCTGGCCTGTCTAAGCGGCTCTTCAGTTTTGAACCAAAATGCTCCCGGTTTGGGAGGGAGAAGGAGAGAGGACTTCACAAATTTTCTCCCTGGAGTAAAATGAACTAAGACTTATTAAGTCGACGTCCTGGTTAATTTCACTGCTGGCTAATGAGCACTTAAAAGGAGAATTAGTTCTGCTGTGGAAGGCAGGGAAACTCCGATCTTCAGAGAAGACATTTGCACCTGGCCTGAGACGTTTGCCTCACAGCAAAAGTCAGAGAGCTCTTGGCTTGCCATTTGGGAACATTTCCTTTTTTGGGGATGGGCTTACCTGTTAATCTACAGGTGCCCTCTCTCCCCTGCTGGCAAGGAAGCCTTAAACCAGGGGTGTCAAACTTGATTTCATTGACGGCCACGTCAGGGCTGCGTTTGGCCTCCGTTTTCGGCTGCAACGCCTCCCGCAACCCTTTGCCAGCGAAAATGGAGCTCGGGAGATGCCACAGAGCGGTCCTTTGCTGTTTCCAGGTTGGGCCGAATCTTAAGGACCCCGCGGGCTGCATCCAGTCCCCTGGCCTCGAGTTTGATACCCCTGGTCTAAACCATAAAGTGGGAAAAATTCTATTTAAACTTTGTGTCATTCGGCAATCAACCGGCCTTTAATTAATTGTGCTTTCCAAATAGCCATTTTTACAAACAAACAAAAAAACTCTTAAGCTGCATCCTTGGATTTGCTCCCAATGTTAGTTTGGGGAAACATCTCTCATTCCTTTAAGTAGGACTGGCTTCCCTGGCGTGTGCTTTATCGCCATGGAGCTATTTTCTCAAAGGGGGTGGCCGTTTTCTTCTCCTCTTCCTCCTGAAGAAGAAGATAGCGCCTTCATTTCCCCCCCAAGCTCCTGGAAGTTACAACACAGTGTCTCTCAACCTTAGCAACTTGGAAGATGTCCGGACTTCAACTCCCAGAATTCCCCAGCCAGCATTCGCGAATGCTGGCTGGGGAATTCTGGGAGTTGAAGTCCAGACATCTTCCAAGTTGCTAAGGTTGAGAAACACAACAGATCCCTCACCACGAGGTGATCCTGTCTATGTCCTGGAAGACTCGATAGGGTCAGATCCTTGGGATCAGGTCGCCGGTGGCGGCCGACCTGTGTGGCCTTCAACTCCCAGAGTTCCTGAGCCGGCGGTAACTTTCCAAAGAAAAGTGGCGACTCTCTAGAGTGGCCCATAAAAACATATTTTGTGAAATGATGGGGAAAGGAAAGGGAACTTAGCCTCTTGGGAGCCTTAAAGAGAGTTTTCAGGTGGCTGCAGGTGTAGCCTTTTAAAAGTATAGAGAGCATAAAGTTGTGCCTGGCCAATCCAAGAAAGTGTTGCATGTTCCTTAGGGCGCTCTTCTGCAAGGGAAGACCTGGCTGGCTCAGGAATTCTGGGAGTTGAAGTCCACAGGGTGCAAAGTCGTCATACTTGGATCACCCTGGCCAAGGGGTTAAGGGGGTTTTTTGGTTGCCCTTTTTCCTACTCGGTCATCTCATCTCATCTGCTTTCTTACCTTTATATCAGTGTTTCTCAACCTTGGCAACTTGAAGATGTCCGGACTTCAACTCCCAGAATTCCCCAGCCAGCATTCGCTGGCTGGGGAATTCTGGGAGTTGAAG